ATTTATGTTTTTTAAATTTCTTTCAGCAATGTTTTCTAGTTTTCAGTGTACAAGTGTTTCACCTCCTTGGTTGGGTTTCTTCCTTAGTATTTGTTATTATTACTATTATTATTATTTTAAGATTTTATTTTTCAAGGGGCACCTACAAGGCTTAGTGGGAAAAGCGTCTGACTTCAGCTCAGGTCATGGTCTCATGGTTTGTGAGTTTGAGCCCAGAGTGGTGTTCTGTGCTGACAGCTGCTTCGTATTCTGTGTCTCCTCTCCCTCTGCCCCCACCTTATATGTGTGTGTATGTGTGTGTGTGCGTGCACACGTGCGCGTGCTCTTTCTCTCTCTCTCTCAAAACTAAACATTTTTAACAAAGATTTTGCTTTTCAAGTAATCTCTAATTCCAATGTGGGGCTCAGATGTACAACCCTGAGATGAAGAGTATAATGCTACGCCAATGAGCCAGCCTGGTGCCCCCATATTTTATTATTATTTTTTTTAAATATTTATTCATTTTGAGAGAGAGAGAGAGAGCATGAGCAGGGGAGAGACAGAGAAAGAGAGAATCCCAACCAGGCTGCACACATCAGCACAGAGCCTGATGCGGGGCTCAAACCCACGAACCTTGAGCTCATGATCTGAGCCAAAACCAAAAGTTGGATGCTCAACCAACTGAGCCACCCAGGTGCCCTTTAATATTTTTGATGCTATTGTAATGAGAAATATTTTCTTAATTTCCTTTTCCAGTGTTCACTGTGTGTGTATAGAAACACACTTGAGTTTTGAGTGATAATTTTTGTATCATGCAAGTTTATTGAATTAGTTTATTAACTCTAACAGATTTTTCTGGAATCTTTAGGGTTTTCTACATATAAGGCCATGTCATCTGTGAACAGAGATCATTTTACTTCTTCCTTTCCACCCATCCTTGGATGGCTTTCAGTTCATTTTCTTGCCTCATTGTTCTGGCTAGGACTTCCAATACTACGTTGAATAGATGTGGCCAGAGCAGACATCCTTGCCTTGCTTCTAATCTGAGAGAAAAAGCTTTCAGTATGAATTTTTCTTAATTTATTCTTTTATTTTAATGTTTATTTATTTTGAGAGAGAGAGAGCCAGCATGAGGAGAGTCAGAGAGAGGAGAGAGAGAATCCCAAGCAGTCTCTGCACTGTCAGTGCAGAGAGCCTGACGTGGGGCTTGATCTCACAGCCATGAGATTATGACCTAAGCTGAAATCATGAGTCAGACCCTTAACCAACTGAACCACCCACAGTATGAATTTTTTTTTTTTTTTAATTTCTGAGAGAGAGAGACATTGTGAACAGGGGAGGGTCAGATAGAGAGGGAGACACAGAATCTAAAACAGGCGCTAGGCTCTGAGCTGGCTGTCAGCACAGAGCCCGACGTGGAGCTCGAACCCACAAGCAGTGAGATCATGACCTGAGCCAAAGTCAGACGCTTAACTGACTGAGCCACCCAGGCACCCCTAAATGTTTTTAAAAGATTTTATTGTTAAGCAGTCTCTACATCCAACGTGGGGCTTGAGCTCACAGCCCTGAGATCAAGAGTCGCTTGCTCCACTGACTGAGCTAGCCAGGAGCCCCCTCAGTATGAATTTTTTGAAACATAACTACAATGCCATCATCATGCTTAATACAAATAACAATAAGTTTTTAGTAATATTAATACCCAGACCATTTTTGGAGACCTTTGACGGTCTCGAAATGTCTTTTTACAATTAGTTTTTCCAAATTATATCCAAATAAGCTACACATATTTTCACACGTGAATCAAATATTGCATTGTATGAAAGAAGAAAAATAAAGGAAAACAAAACAACCGTGGGATCAAAAGGACTCAGTTTTGAAGTCCCACCCTGCCACTCAGCAGCTGTGTGACCTTAGGTAAGATACTCCACATCTCTGAGCTTCTGTTTCCCCTTATGTAGGATGCAAGAGCTGGGACAATTAGAATGATCAAGAAAGTACTGAACACCATGTGTGGCTGTTGGGAGGTTCGCAGAAGGCCTTAGGTAACCCTGGGCTGAGTTTAACTTGACCAAGATCACCCTAAGGTGCCGATTCCCATCCCTCCTTTTACCAAACCGTGTCTCCGATTGCATCTGAGCTCAGCTGAGACTATCTCTCCAATGGAGCACAACCACCAAGGAAGCTGATCTTCCTCGAAGCTCACGTCTTTAGGAATCCAGGAGCTCATCCGAACACTCTGTCACCTCACCCCTTCCCCATCCAGCCCCATAGCAAGCGGCACCCTTCCCTCTCAGCCTACAACATGCTGGTCCTCATCGGGTGTCTCTTGCCGAGAAGCTCCCAGCAGCCTCCTCGTCTCCCTGCTCCCCTCCACAATGGCCTCCCTCAGATCTGTTCCCCATTGTATTTCAAATGCAAGCCCCATTCCTCACTCTCCCACCCCACTGCCTAAAACCCTCCATGCCTTCCCAAAAGGCTTTTATAGAAGAAACAAAACCAGCCTAGAGGCTGAGTCTCATCTGCCCCTTCCTACCTCTCAACATGGAGCGAGGTGGGATACCTTCTTCTCCAGCCCTCATGGGCCTTCCTTGAGCTCCTTGATTAAACACTTCATGCTTCTCTTCATCTCAAGGTTTTGCACCTGCTGGTCTCTCCTGGTATGCTCTCCCACTGCATTGCCCAATTCTTACTCTTCCCTTCCCTTCCCTTTTTTCTTTTCTTTTCTTTTCTTTTTTTCTTTTCTTTTCTTTTCCCCAACATGGGGTTCAAACTCACAACCTCAAGATCAAGAGTCCAAGATCAAGAGTTGTATGCTCTACTGGCTGAGCCAGCCAGGCACCCCCTACTCTTTGAAATCTCAGTTGTTGATCTCCCCACCCACATGCCCATATTAAATCAGTGCTTTAGGGTGACCAGTTGTCCTAGTTTTCCAAGGAACGAAGGGTTCTTGGTACTTGGAGCTTCCTTTTTCAAACCAGGAAAGTCCCTGGCAAAGCAGGATGAGTTGGTCACCCTATCAGAGCCTAACAACAATGTTCTGTGCATAGTCGACGCTAAGGAGTATTTGTGCACTGCAGCCCCTGGTCCCACTCAGGAGAGGGCAGACACCGCTGAGCTCCAGTCACATTTCCAGGCATCTGGGGCAGCCCGATATTAATAATAGTAACTACTATTCACCAAGCACTTCGTTAGTGCCTTGCTTGGTGTTGAGTTCTCTGCGTTTGCCCTCCCATTTAATTCCCTGTCACCCAAATTACAGCTAGCATTCTCTTTTTTTTTTTTTTTAATGTCTTTTTAAGTTTACTTTTGAGAGAGAGAGTGTGTGAGCAGGGGAGGGGCAGAGAGAGGGAGACACAGAATCCGAAGCAGGCTCCAGGCTCTGAGCTGTCAGCACAGAATCTGACGTGGGGTTCGAACTCACAGACCATGAGATCATGACCTGAGCTGAAGTCAGATGCCCAACCGACTGTGCCACCCAGGCGCCCCTAGCACACTCTCCTTTTATTAAGGTGAAATTCCCACCGCATAAAGCTAACCATTTAAAATTTTTTTTTAAATGTTTTATTTATTTCTGAGAGAGAGAGAAAGTGAACAGGGGAGGGACAGATAGAGAGGGAGACACAGAATCGGAAGCAGGCTCCAGGCTGTGAACCAGCTGTCAGCATAGAGCCTGACACGGGGCTCGAACCCACAAACCAGGAGACCATGACCTGAGCCGAAGTCGGAGGCTCAACCGACTGAGCCCCCCAGGCGCCCCATAAAGCTAACCATTTTAAAGTGAACGAGTCGAGCCAGTGGTATTTAGTACATTCACAGTATTATGCCACCACCACCTGCAGTTCCAGGACATATTTATGACGTCAGAGGTAACCCTTTAACCATTAAACAGTTCCTCCCCATTCCGCCCTCCCACCTGTCCCCTCCCCCCCCCCCAATCTGTTTTCTGTCTCTGTGGAGTCACCTCTTCTGGATATGTCATAACAATGGAAATTCACAATATGTGGTCGTTCACATTGATCTTTCTGGCTTCTTTATCCTTCTCCTTTGACACATGACGAAATTGAGGTCCAGAGAGGTTGGGGAGCCTGTTCAATGTCCTTCAGCTTGGAAGGGGAAGAACAGGGTGTTGGAGCCCCCACATCTAACCATTTGAGTATACCCTTACCCGGACCTGAGCCAGTTTCCCCACCTTACCTCTTAGGATTCTCTGAGTTAAAGGCAAACCAGAGCAAAGAGTCCAATGTTGTTTTAATTTTTTAAAAATTGTGGTAGAATATACATAACAAAATTTACTGGGTTTTTTTTTTTTTTTTTTTACCATTTTAAGTGTACAGTTTAGTGACATTGATATATTCACAATGTTGTGCAACCATTACCACTACTACTTCCAAAATTTTTTCATTACCCCCAACGGAAGCTCTGTACCCACTAACTCCGATTCCCTCCTCTCCAGCTTCTGGAACCCTCTATTGGATATTCTGTCCCTATTAGTTTGCATACTCTACGGATCTCATTTAAGTGGAACCACACAATATTTGTCTTTTGTGTCTGGCTTCTTTAGCCTAATGTCCTTTTTTATTCAAAATTTTTTTAACGTTTACTTTTAAGAGAGAGAAAGCGCGCAAGTGCGTGCACGTGAGTGGGGGAGGGGCAGAGAGAGAGGGAGACAATCCAAAGGAGGCTCTAGACTCCAAGCTGTCAGCACAGAGCCCCATGTGGGGCTTGAACTCACGAACCATGAGATCATGACCTGAGCCGAAGTCGGAGGCTCAACCGACTGAGCCACTCAGGCGCTCCCCTGCTTATAATGGCCACCCTAATGGGTGTGTAGTATCATCTCATGGTCAGCAGTAGGTTTGACCAGGTTTGAGGCTGGTCAAGAAGTTGTAAATGGAAGCTGGGTCAAGTGGAAAGTGTAGACTTTCAGAAGAAATGCAGAAGAGAAAACAGGGCATCACTGGGGTACCCAGACCTGAAGGTGCGCAGGGATACAAGACACTCACAAACCCAGCACCGTTTTCAAATAATTTATTAGGAATTTAAAACTGAAAATAAAACCTGGAAAAAGAAGTTACAGATGTGGAGAGAAGAGACACCGGAGGGTGGTAACTTGCTGGCTTCAAAACACCATGTAACATCTTTTTTTTAAAATTCCCCAAACAAATCAGAAAACGGAATTCCAGGGCCCTGAGCCCATAGGTGGGCCCAGCGGGGTGGGGCGGGGTCACAGGAAGGGGAGGAGAAGGAAGCTGAGCCTCTCATGACTCAGCTCAAACGTGTAGAAAATTAAAAATAAAAACCAATAAAATGCAGCTTCTCTTTTATTAGGAAACATTAAAAAAAAAAACAAAACCACGAACAGCCGCGCATCTCAGTAACAAAGATTATTGCTTTGTGTTCTCAGGGCTAATAGGTTAAGCACCTCACACAGACAATTAACTCTCCAAAGGGGTTTTCGGGGATGGGAACCATGATGGGGAAGAGAGCTTAGGTCCCCAGCCTCAGACCTGGGGGGGAGGGACACAGAGGGAGGGTCAACAACAGGGAGGCGGGCCTCGGCCCTGCCATGCCAGCCAGGTCACTCATGTTCATGAAGAGTCAGACACTGAGCCCCTTTTTCCTTTGAAGGGGGCTCGGGGGCTCGGGGATGCTAAGGGGCTCTGGCCATGGGACCATCCTGATGGGAAACTTCAGTGAGAGAATGTGGGGGTTCCCTGAGAAGCCCTTTGCTTTCCCCTGGGGTCCGCCCCTTCCCAAGTACCCCCTTGATGCCCGCTCATGGGGGGCTCAGAGCAGAAACCATGAAGGCCTGACCTAGGTAGGGGACAGGGGGGAGGCCTTTGGAGAGTTAATTCCTTTCCAGCAGTGGTTCCGGGCGAGCCCTTCTCTTTCCTCACCCCTTGCCCCCATGCTGGGTTTTCGGGGTGAGCAGGCCCAAGGCCTTGACCCCTAGGGCCTGAGCGAGCGGGCTTGCCTTGGCCACAGTTGAGGCCTGCAAGCTTACAGTAACGGTGTCTGAGGAGGAGACAGAAACACAGGGGGAGGCCTTTGCCGGGTGGGGCGAGGCAATGCCCTCACCCCCAAGGGGTCTTCGAGAGGGGGAGAGGCTTCACCTCGCAGTATTTACATATGATACAGGACGGGATGGTTCCAGGGGCGTGGCCTGGCCGACACAACCCTGGCCTCCTTTCCAGGGCTGGAGGGAGGTGGCCAGGGGCCCACACCCGCATAGACATACATTTTGTTCTCAGCTGGTGGGGGGCACCTGGCCCCTGGCCCCCTGCGGCCTGGGGCTTCACATTCACAAACCTAGAAATAGTTTAAAAAACGGTTTCTTTAAAAAAAAAAAAAAAAAGGAAAGAGAAAAGGAAGGGAAATCAGAATAAAAAAACAAGCGTAGGGCTTGCGGCCTGTAGCAGACCCCCTCCGCCCTCACTCTAGCTATGCACAAATACAAAAGCCTTCTGGGGAGAGGGTCCTATGGGGGCGCGGCAGGGGGGAGGGGCGCAGACCTGAGAGGGGAGAACCAGGAGGGTGGGGGGCAACCGGCTAATCCAAAATAAATAAAAGCGGGCAGGAGAGGGGCAGGTGGGGAGGGGAGCCAAGGGCGGAAGGGAGGGAGGTTAGTAGGGGAGCCAGACGCTGTCCAGGGGCAGCAGGGCAGGGGCCGGGCCCAGGGAGTGGGGGGCAGGCAGTAGCGGTCCGAGTCGCTGCGGGGGAGGGGGCGGCGGCTGCGGCTGAGGTGTCCCCGCCCCCCCTTCGCTGGCTCACTGCGGTCCTCAGTCAGCTGCAGGCTGGGGCGCTGGAACACAGGAGGCGGTTAGGGGCCCTGTGGCAACTTTACACACACACACACACACACACACACACACACACCCGCCTCTCTTTGGGGGTCCCCAGAACACCGGTAGGGTCTCCTAGAAGAACTTCGCAGGCTCTGTTCCCTGTTCGTACCGCTCTTTCCCTAGATTTTCAATGACTGGATTTATTCTACTGCCAACGTCTGAGAGGTACCTTCTCTGAACCTCTAATTTGAAGTAAGCCCTTCTCACATCATTTGGAAGCATCTCATTTGTTCGCCTCATTTTTGTCTGTGGAATGAGAGCGGGCCTTTTCTGTCTTATACTTCCTTCTTTCCTGAAACAGTGCTCAGTAACTACTTGTTTGAATGAATGCACCAAGGAAGGCAGGCACAAAGGAAAGGTCCCAGGTTCACACAGTACCCCCACAGGGCTGTGTGTACAGAGTTCTTTCTCTCACACTCTCTGGGCATGCAGATCTGTGGACAGCATCCTGTTTTAAGGGCTGTGTAATATTCCATTGTGTGTGTATGCCCTAATGAATTTAAACACTCTCCTTTTGGTGGGTGTTTTGCGGCTCCTTACACCCAACGTGGGGCTCAAACCCATGACCCTGAGATCAAGAGTTGCACACTCTTGGGGCGCCTGGGTGGCTCTGTGGGTTGAGCATCTGACTTCAGCTCAGGTCAGGATCTTGTAGTCAGTGAGTTCCAGCCCCGTGTCGGGCTCTGTGCTGACAGCTTGGAGCCTGGAGCCTGCTGCGGATTCTGTGTCTCCCTCTCTCTCTGCCTCTCCCCTGCTCACGCTCTCTCTCTCAAAAATAAATAAAACATTAAAAAAAAAAAAGAGTTGCACACTCTTCTGACTTAGATAGCCAGGTGCCGTAGCCCTTTGCGGTTTTTAAAATAAATGCCTAGAAGTGAAGTGGTTGGGTCAAGGGCGTGAATGTTTAAAATCTGGATTATGTGCCAGCCCTTCCTTGGAAACCCCGAGTCAATTTACATGTTGCTTCCCCTACACCCTCATCAATGTTGGGCACCAGCGATCTCAAAAAACCTTTCCCTGAAAAGTGGCATGCGCTGCCTTGTTGCGGTTTTCATTTACATTTTTTTAGGTAGCAGGTTGAACGGCCTTTCAGGTTCACTGACCGCTGCTGGTATGAAGTTCTGTCTCCTCCCTGGACTGTGGGCTCCACGAAGGCAGGGACAAGGTCTGTGGCCCAGACCGGGCTGCCCAGTACCAGCCTCCCCAGGGCCACCCCCACCCAAGGCCCCTGCCCAAGTCCTCACCTCCTGCCACCTGTCTCCTGCTTCAGTGGTACCCATTGGTGAAAGCTGTGGCAATCAAAGGGCCCTGGGAAGAAAAGAATTTGACTCTTGGATTCTTAGGGAAGCGGAGAAGGCCCCGGGGCTCCTCTCTTCGGACCCAGGGTAAGGCGGAGACCCTTCGTAGCCCTGCCCAGATCACCCCCACTGCAGACCCACCAAAAGATTCTCTGGGGTAGGGCCTGGAATCTGTATATTACCAGTACCCTGGTTAAAATTAGGGCATCCATGAGCTAGAATCTAGTCTCCATGTGGGCAGAGATGGCAAGTCTGCGTGACGTCCCCGGAGCCTCATGCCCGGCACACTGAATGATGACCCCCCACACTGTTCTCCCCTAGGTGACACTGTTTTCCCATCCATCATCTCTTGGCTCCCTTCTGCCCCTGCAGAAAGACAGAGCGTCTCCCTCCTCCAACTTCTGAGTCTTCCAGGACCAGCCACTCACCCCAAGACTGTGGCCAAAGCCGGTGCTGGGGGCGGGGCTGGCAGCGCTGATGTAACTGCTGACCCCCGAGTCCTGGTTGGCTGCCCCATAGAGCTCGGCCATGGGGCCAGGGCTTGTGGTCCCTAGGAAGCCCCCCGTGCGGCTGGGAGTTGAACCTGGAGGGGGAGCCATCGTCCAGGGGTGAGAGCCTGGCAACCCAGAAAGAAGACAGTGATAGCCCTGGCGCCCACTGTTGCCCCACCACACCCCCCAAACCTGTCCCAGCCACCCCGACCTCACCCTCCCCTCTCCCTCAACCCTACACCCCAGCAGGGCCTGTGGTCCACCTCCCGGAGGTAGGTCTCTCCAAGTCCATCCACTCCTGCCATCTTGTCTGACCACTTAGTAGCCTCCTCACTGACCTCCAGGCCTCCCCCCTCTTGGGCCCCTTTAGACTTTTCCCCATGCTGAAGCTGAGTGCATTTTCTAAAAGCAACATCACCCAACTGCTTAAAGGATCAGTGTCTCCGCAGGACCTGGTTTCTACCTCCTCCTCTCCACTCCCCATTCCTGTGCCCCCTCCCATGCTAACTGGTCTCCACAGGGAACACTTTTCTTCCTCTTTGCCTTCAAATTGGAAGTTAAGGGGCCCTTCCTTCTGGAAGCCTTCTCAAGAGGCTCCAGCTGTGAGCTCCCCAGGGACCTGACCTCCCCCTCCCCCGCAGCAGACCAGAATCATCCTCCAGGATTACTACCTTTGTAATAATACCTGATGCCCCCCCAGCCTGCAAGGTCTGGAGGACGGGGGCAGGGCGGGGGGAGGGGGGGGAGTCTCCTTCCTGGCTGGCTCACCAGGTGCTCAGTGAATAATTATGGAGCAAATGAATAAATAAGTCCCTCTGCAAAAGGGTGGCAGTGGCTACTTTTCCTCCTCTCTAGACTTCTCTGCGCCCCCCCCATGCCCCTCCTCTGCTTCCTGCACCCCAGAAGGCCTCACCTGTCCCTCGAACCACAGCTGCTGCCGCCGCCGCCGCCGCCATTGGTCCATAAGCAGTGAGAGGAATGGCTAAAAGGAAAGGTAGGGGCACTTCAGTGTGGTGGGTGAGGGCACAGAGGTGGATAACGGAGGTCCCCTCTGGGCAGTCTCTCCAGCCTTACCCCACCTCAGAGGGTCGGTGCATCACCAGCGCAGAGGCAGAAAGAACTTCCTTGGGCCTCCAACTATGCCCTGACCCATGGAATGGATGGAGAAAGGTGGGCGAGCAGACGGCCTCCTAGCAATGGATGTGACCTCGGTTTCCCCCCTGGACTCAAGGGACACACTTGAACCACATAAAGTTCCTAGAGGCTGGGGGCGGGGCACACCGCCCTGGGCTGCTCTGAGCGATGCCCCCTTCTCCAGAGAGTGCCCTTGGCCGCCAAATGGGGCCACCCAGCTCAGAGGTCCCCAGGAGGTTACAGCCCTTATCCCAACCAGTGACTGACTGACATGGGGTGCAAGAAGCCAGGCCTGCTGCTTCAAGGTGGGACCTTCTCTGAGGTGCAGTGAGTGCCCCAGACCTGCCTGTGGGATCAGGCTGAAGCTGGATTCCAGTCAAGGTCACAATTTGGCTTCAGTCTTTCTGCTGCCTGTGCTGTTTCCCTCGCTGTCCCTCTCCTGAGAGCACACCCTCAGTAAATTGTGTGCACCCCAATTCCCTGTCTCAGGGTTCCCCTGACCGCCACCCAGCCAGAAATGACCACTACATCCCCCCCAATTCTCCCAGCCTCCTTTTCTCTGATCCCCTCTTCAGACACAGAGATATTGCTATTCCCTTGTTTGCCGTCTACCTCCAGCCTGCCTCCACGGTGCCTAGCACTTTGCCTTATACACAGTAGGTATTTAATAAATGTCTGCTGAAGGAGTAAAAGGAACTTTTTTTTTTTTAAGATTTTAGTTTTAGGGGCGCCTGGGTGGCTTAGTCAGTTAAGTGTCTGACTTTCACTTAGGTCATGATCTCGCGGTTCGTGGGTTCCAGCCCTGTGTCGGGCTCTGTGCTGACTGCCAGCTCAGAGCCTGGAGTCTGTTTCAGAGTCTGTCACTCCCTCTCTCTCTGACCCTCCCCTGCTCACGCTGTCTCTCTCTCTCTCCTAGAAATAAATAAAACATTAAAAAAAATTTTAAAAAAAGATTTTAGTTTTAAATAATCTCTACATCCCACGGGGATCAAACTCACAACCCCAAGGTCTAGAGTCACATGCTCTATGGACTGAGCCAGCCATGAGCCCCTAAAAGGGACCTCTTTTTTGGGGGGTGGGGAAGTCTTCTTAAATAAAGAGTTGGCTTGAACCTGATGCTCCCTTGGCCTGGGGTGGTGGGGTGAGCGCCCCCTACTGTTTGGCTCTGCCACTGCAGCCCCTGAAGCTACACTCCACCCAGACCCAGGATCTTCTGAGCTGGTTTGCCCTCAGGAATACTAATCTCCCATCCCAAGATGCACCCTTTGGGGGCTGTTTTGGTGGCCTGGACCCTGAACCAGAACTGGACTTGAGGCTAGGGACCGGGAAATGGCTCCTGAAAATTCCCGGCAAGGCCTTTGGTCTAGGGGCTTAACATCTGGGACCACAGTGTTCCCACACCGTGGAGGCGCCTTGCCTAAGAGCCATACAGTTGGCTCCTCACCCAAATGTCCAGCCGTCACCTTCCCTGACCATCCTCGCTACGGCAGCCTCCTGCCCCCAGGCCTAAGACCTTAGAACATTCCCTGTTTTATTTTCCTCGTGAAACCTCTCACGCTCTGCAAGTATTTTATTCATTTGTTTGTCTATTTGTTTATTGCTGTCTCTCTCCAGCTCCAGGAGAGCAGGGACCTTGTCTGTCTCATTTGCTGCGGTAGCCCCACTGCCTGGAACAGCATCTGGCATGATAAATCTCTACTGAACGCATGAAAAATTGCCACATCTCCTGAAGGCAAGAGAAAAGTTCAGACCCCAGCCTCTCCAGGGGAAACACCTTCCCCTGCGCCAAGCTATCTGCTGAGGGGACATTTCTTTCTCACTTCTTTAATGGCAAGGGCTGGGCTCTGAGGTCTGGTTCCTGGTCTGTTGAGGCATTTCCACAAAGCAAAGTCAGCGTGGCCGACGGGAGCAAGAGCTTGACGACTGTCAAGGACTCACTCAATAATATAAGTATTTGTGTTCCTCTCTAGGCTGCAAGTCCTGTGAGAGCAGGGCCTAGCGCTGTTCTGCCCCTGCTGTGTCCCCAGGGCCTGGCGGAGTGTCCCACACAGTGGGTCCTCAACACACAGCTCTTCGATGAGTAGGAAAGCACCCCGGCTTCCAGCTCCCCCATTGCGGGTCAAACCCAGCTCTGCTCAGGGAAGGGCCGCTACCACCCCCCACCTACAGGATGCCTTCCTCCCTCCCCTTTCCTCACCCCCTAGTTTTCTTGCCCTTCCCCCATTTTGAGGGACCCCTGAGCACCCCTTGGAAGGAAGGTCTCATCTAAAGCAGCATCCATGCTCACGTCCTCCACACACGGCCAGGTTCGGGGGGAGAGTCCAGGGTGGGGTGGGGGAAGAAGCAGGTTGAACAGAGAAACCCCTTGCAGCCCACCTCATTCGCACACGCCCCTCCCCCTCCCTTTGGACTCGGCCCCCCTGCTCCAGAGCTGAGCTGACTGGCCCAGGCGCAAGCTGCAGCTGGAGAAACGGCTCCTGACGGCCAAGCACCTTCATCCACTTGCTCAGAAGTTGCAAATGGACAGCCCCGAGGGCTGGATTTCGCCCTCGAATGGGTTTCATTTGGCCTGCAGTGGTTTAACAATTTGGAATCTGTTGCCAACATTTGAAAATGATGGAAAAATCCATTCCGGAGGAAAAGCTGGGTTTCTGGCTTCTCTTGGAATCTGAGATCTGAAAGTACAAGGTGTGCGTCCCATCCTGGCAAGGGTCGGCTGGCAAGGAGTGGAGGCATGTGCACAAAGTCTGTCAAAGTCCCCGCCCGGCCCACTCTGCTCTGAGCTTGAGACCCTGGCTTCTTCACGGCTGGATCCAGAGCCTACTTGGTGCCTGGCACACACGGGAGGCGCTAGATAAATATTTGCCAAATGGATGAATGAGTGATTTTGCCTCCATCTGCTGGGCTTGGCCCTACGCCCCGCCCTTAAGGGCCATGTAGCTACACAGACTGGCCAGGGCCTGGGCAGAGTCCACTGTATCCCCACAGCCAGAGGGCTGGGGTGGGGGGGCAGGAGAAGAGGGTCCCGCTAGCTCTCCCCGGGGAACATCCCTGGGTCTTTCTCTTTCTCCCCATGAGGCCTGTGAGGTATACGAAATCCGAGCGACTGACCTGTAAGCTCGGGGAGGACTGGGGCGCTCGGGAGAGGGGTCCGCTCTACACGGAATTCTAAAATGAAACGTAAAACAGCTTAGGAAGATACAGGGGAGGCCCCTGGGGCATGGCCCAGGGGGGACAAACGCACCCACAAGGACACTGGGTAGGGGACAGGCCATGCACAGGACCCGAGAGCTGGGATGGGGAGAGCACGGTCCCCAGCAGGCAAAGGTGGAGAAGACACAGACAGAGGACAGACAGAGAGAAAGAGCAGGAAGAGTTGCCCCCTACACCCTGGCGTGTGTGTGTGCGTGTGCGTGTGCGTGTGCGTGTGCGTGTGTGTTGTTATTGTTTGTTTTTGCTTTCTAGGGGGAGGAGCTGGGGAGGCAGCACTGATAACAACAATGACCCTGGAGCAGGTCAGGCTCAGGTTGGGTTCCCAGCTCCACGGCTTTCCAGGTGGGTCTTCTGAGCCCATTTCCTCAACAGGAGGAATGATCACCCTTCCCCAGTGAGAGTGTTGCCAGGCTTAGACAACATAATGCATAGAAAGGACTCCAAGCTAGATAGCCTGAAAGGCAAAGGATACAAGTGCTTAGGGACCCTCTCAAAAAAATAAGGCCAGGGAAAGAAAAGAAAAAAAAAAAAAAAGCTTGCAAAAATTTGATATCTGATATTTCAAAGAAAACAATAGCGAAGAGTTATCATGGCAAAATTCAGAACTTTGTTGGGCTTCCTGCCACTTATTCTAAGGTCTAGTGTTATTTTTATTTTGAATTACAAATGAGGGTGGTGATCGTCAGGCTTTTAAATTGTTTTTCAGCATTCAGGGTGGCCAAAGGTCTTGTCGGCCTTGAAGGGGCCCAGCGTAGCGCGTGGTCATTATAAGCGTGTCCGTAAAGACACAGCCGGCGGCGCTGGCCCTCAAGAAGGCCTCCCCCATGAGTCGGATGCCTTCTCTGGTGGAAGTGGCAACTCAGGACGGGGTGAGGAGAGAAAGGCAGGAGGCAGGCAGAGATGAGCCTGGGCAAGAACCGTGCCATGCAGGACCACGAGGGGTGGGGGTGGGGGAGCCCCCAGCTTCTGGGGAAGAGGTGAGGAGGGGATGGGTAGGGAGAGGTGCTCCTTCCTCAGACATGCCCTTCCTTCCAAGCCTCCGGCAAGCAGACCACCCCACCCCCCGCACCCAGCCATGCACCCCCAGACACCACCCTGAGGAGTCAGACTGCCCGGGAACCAGGGCCATGCTGGCAGCAGAAAGACACCAAGCAGGACTTACCGGGAAACTGGTAGGTGTAGCCAGGAGCGAGGCCTGTATAACTCCGGCTGGCATAGGTTGTGGCTTGGAAACCGGGGTAACCTGATAGGGCAAGTGGGGTAGTGTCAGATGCCTCACGTACTGCTCAGACCCTGCTCAGAGGAGAAGGATCTGAGTCACCCGTTTCCCTCCCCACCATTCGTGATAACGAATAACAGTCAGTCACATTTACCACACACAAGTGTGCTTACCACTGCGTACCATATCCTCTCCTTAAGCCTCACAGGAACCCTAAGAGGCTGGTACTATTAGGAGACCCATTTCACAAACTGAGGCTCAGAGAGGTGACGCACTGGCTGAAAATAATCCGAACCCTAACCAGGACTCTTTATGCTCTGGCTCCTGCCTTCTCCTGTCCTTATCTACAATCTCCTCCAGTCACATTGGCCTCTCTACCGTTTCTCAAATCCACCAAGCTCCTTCCTACCTCCGGGCCTTTGCACATGCTGCTTCCTCTGCCTGGAGGACGCACACTTCCCCCAGGTCTTCCCATGACTATGTCCTTGTCATCATGCAAGTCTCAGCTCATATGTCACCTCCTTGGAGGCATCATTCCACAAGAGTCCTCCCTCCCATCAGTTGCAATATTTATCAATTTTCTGACAGCACCAATGACCATTATCTGAACTTATCCCCCGGGTTTTTTTAAGAGCTGATTTTCTGTCTTCCTCATCTTTTTTATTTCTGTAGTATCTCCAGGACAAGCTCCTGGTGCCTGCTACTTATATGCATGTGATAAATACGTGCAGCTTTACGAGAAAATCATATAGCCAGTAACAGTGAGTGGGAAGAGTGAATAACAATGGTGTAACTGGGATTCATATTCAGAGCTAACTGGTTCCAAGCCTCTTAACCACCAGTGTCTCTCTTTTTTTGTTAGTTTTTAAAGGTGGGGGGGAGGTGAAACCAGCTAATGAATTACCTTGGAAAGAAAACGGTCTCAGTGTTCCAGACCAAAGGAGGTTAAAGAGACTGGGGAACAAAATGCAAAACCTGATTCTAGCCTGGATCTTACCTGAGAGGCAAAACTATGTTATAAAGAACGTTATTAGGTCAACAGATAAAACTGGAAAATAGATTAAAATACTGTATCAATGTAAATGTATGAACTGGCTAATTATAATGTGGCTTCATGAAAAAAAAATACTACTACTTTTAGGAAATACGTACTGAAGTATTTAAGGGTAAAGGGCCATAGGGGCGCCTGGGTGGCTTAGTCGGTTAAGCGTCCGACTTTCGCTTAGGTCATGATCTCACGGTTCGTGGGTTCGAGCTCCGCGTCGGGCTCTGTGCTGACTGCCAGCTCAGAGCCTGGAGCCTATTTCAGAGTCTGTGTCTCCCTCTCTCTCTGACCCTTCCCTGCTCACGCTGTCTCTCTCACTCTCTCCTAGAAATAAATTAAAAAAAAAAAAAAAAGGGTAAAGGGCCATAGCCATAATGCATGTAACTTTATCTCATCATATGTGTGTATATATCTATGCGTGTATACACACACACACACACACACGTATACAGAAAGAAAGCAAATGATAAAGCAAATGGGGTATAATATTAACAGGTGAACTCGGTGAAAGGCATAGGGATACTCTTCGTACGATTTGATTTTTGCAACTCTTCTGAAAGTTTGAAATTACTTCCAAATAAAAAGCTAAAAGAAAACTTCAAGAGAAGCACTTGGAGGGTGCTCCCCTCACCCACTCTACCTATTGACCCTCTAGCCCATGCCACGCCCCCTCTCCTGAATTCCCAGGGCGCCCCTCCCCCCATACCTGGCAAAAAGACTCCTTTGTACCGTTCTCTTTCTGTGGGTCCACATCTTGTGTCTCCAAGGAGACTGCGAGCTTCTTCCTGGGGGGACTCAGCTCAGATTTTCTACCCTCAGTTCTAGGCCCCAAGCACTGCTGACCCCTGCTCAACTCCTCAGGCTCCTGACAACCTGCACTTCCTCTGGGGAGCCTACCTGACCACCAGGTGGGTTTGGGTGCCACCTTGGGCCTCCCACAGCCTCCGAGCACTATGTGGGGTCACTGACCTCCTATAACTAGCACCTACTCAACCCACAGATTCAGCTTCAATGTAACTTCTTTTCGCACTTCTCCAAACCGTAGTCAAGTTCTCTATGACCACGCTCTTTTGGCATCCTAACCCTATTTATTTACATACTTAATTTGTTTTCCCTGCCAGACCACAAAACACCAAGGAAACTCACTGTTGTATTTCCTGGCATAGCTCCTAGCATGTATAGTCACTCAATAACTACTGGAGAGATGGATGGATGAACAAATGGACCGATGGACAGAAGGATCAATTAATAAGGACCGTTTTCTAGCTACCACCAGAGGGCAGCACCCCACAACCAAATCGCCCCTCCCTGGGTTGACTTGGAGACTTGAGATCCTTGGTCCCCACTCCCACCCAATGACTCATACAGGAGGGCCGACCACAGAGGAGATGCGACACCTACGCGGCCCCCGGTAGCCCTGGGAGCAGTTCCGGGCAGGAAGTAACCACAGGTGCAGGCCCAGCACATACCCAGCATGCCGATGCCCAGCATGAAGGCGTCCATTCCGTAGGGCATGACTCGAGACCTTCCCCGGGCCGAGCCCGTTGGCGACATCACCTCTTTTGGCTGAGCTTTCTTACATTCCACCTGCAATGAGACCTGATGGTCAGTCCCTCCTACGGACGTAGGGTCGCAGACCCTCTTGTTCCCTGGCAGAGGCCTCCTTTCTGTTAACTTCATACTCCCATTCACGGAGTGCTCGCTACGTACTAGAGATTATGCAAACGGCTCTGCATGCGGTAGTAGCTTACGCCAACCCCATGATGGAGGTAGTACTGCCACTCTCATTCGACAGATGCGGAAACTGAGGTTCAGAGCAGGAAAGTCATCTGCCTAACGATTAGACTAGCAAGCGGCAGAGTGAGGATGTGAATCCAGGTCTCTCTGAGTCTACCAGCTGTGCTTTTTAACCACCACGAGACACTGACTTCCTGTCCAGATTTTCAGAGGGTGGAGAGGTGGCTGTGCCTCACTGACCGGGAGGCCCCTCTGCCTGCCTCCGGAACCTCCGAGCATCCCGTCTCCCCTCCGCACCTCCACCCATCCCCTCACCATTTTGTTGTTGATTTCATGGAAGTGGATCTCACACACTTTCTCCACAATGTCCTCGCTCTCGAACGTGACAAACCCGAACCCTAGAGGGCAAAGGCAGGGACAAAACCAGGGTTTAGGGTCAAAACCCAGCCCGAGTCACACCAACACTGCCACGGCTCTCTCACAGGCAAGTGCCTGAGAGTTAATGAAAGCCTGGGAGCCTCTCAACTACCCACCCGCTGAGACAGGGTTCCTAGCGCCCCAATTACAGACGCGAAAGCCATGCTCAGCAAAGTGAAGTGACCTGCCCGAAGTCACACAGCAAATTAGAAATCAGTAGAGCAGTCATGAAAACACACTCAACATGCCTTTCGTCTTTCTCAGATGCTTTCCGAAGAAGGCAGAAAGAATACACACAGTTATTTACATTTACGCAAAAGTGTGCACATCCAAACTTATGTTTGTGCCGAGTCACCCATGTACACGACATATCGATGCACACACATGTATACCTCCGTGCCCATATATCATAGATACTCAGCAGTGCTCACAAAGGACCCCCTACACGTGAATAGTTACCATGGCACACCAGGCACATATAAATATTCAGACATAGACACTCTCCCAAGCACAGGTACAAACATACACACACACACACACCAACACGTACCTCAATCCCCAAACAGGCTAATACACACCCAAAGCCCCAAAGCAACCAGAGAAACAACCCCACCTCCTCCTGGGGAGGCCCCAGGGGTTGGAATGGGATTTCTCAGAAGGCAAGGCCCTTGGGAGAAAAACAACCAGGCAATGCACAGTGTGGCCCAGATGCTCACAGGTTCAGGGGCGGCAGGGGGGGTGGGGGGAGGAGACTGGGCTCAGCTCGTGGGTGGGGGTGGGACGCAGAGGCAGACCGCCCAGGGCTGTGGAGTCGGCCTGACCCTGGGGCTGCCCGGCCTAAGCTCTGGTTACCAGGGCCAAGGTAAGCCCCAGCAGACACTGGCTGGGCAGACACTGGAGGGGGGGGGGGGGGGGGGGGGGGGGGGGGGGGGGATCAGTTTGGAAGGGGGGAGGTTGCTCCTCTGCTCCTCTCGGGTGTCTGCAATTGGGCAAGTTTCTAGCACAGGAAACGGCGGGACAAAAGCCTTCTGTAAGGCCAGGCCCGGGAGAGGATGCAGATCCTTGGGGATAGGATGTCAGGAGGCAAGATGAAAGGGCAGCTGTGACCTGCAGCCCCCTGGCTGACCACAGGCCCCCAGCCTGGCCTGGAAAGGGGGAGGGGGCCATACTCACCTCGGTGCCGGTTGGTGGTTTTGTCAAACATCAACATGGCATCGTCCACCTGAAACAGAGCCTGCCATGGTGGACCCACCAGATACCAGAGAACCCACCACAACCCAGCAGGAGGGGCTCCCACACCCCCTCCCCTCTTGCCCAGGCTAGGTTTTATCTTAAACTGGCTCCCTGTGCAGGGTACCCCTTTCCATCCACAACCCCAACTGGATGCCACGGCACCTCCCCTTCAACCACGAGATTCTTGGTGGATCAGCCTGCAAATACCAAGCACCAAATGCGTGCCTGAGTCACTTTGCCCCATCAGCCTCTCTACAGTCCCTGCAATGTAGGATCCTCATTTTGTAGATAAGGAAATGGGCTCAGAGAGGTGAAGTCACCTGCCCAAGGTCACACAGCAAATCCTAGACCAAGCCTGGGAGGAAGAGGAGGCACGGAGTGGGTGCTAACGAAGGCAACATGGGAGCAAGATAGAAACCGGGAAATGAAAGCCTCTTCCCTTTCTGCAAAAGGCCAGGAGGACAGCAGCCACTCCAGCCAGACTTGACTCCCCTCTCCTGGTACAGATCTTTTCCTCTAATTGAGGTTTCCTTTTGCTAGAGGCTGTAATTAAAGCAAGTAGAGTTCAGTGCCTGGGCTGCTAGCCTCCCACTGACTGGGGGAGGGGCAGGGGGCTGAGGAAGGGGGGTGGGCTACAGGATTCCCCGTCCCTTGCACCCCAGTCTCCTCTCCTTGCTACTCCCTCAAGGCAATGCCTCGGATGCATGAAGAGCCAAAGGCCTCAGCTTCCCTCCGCAGTCCCATCTCCCTCCCTTTGCCTACATCTGGTGCTTCCTCCCAGTTCTGTTAATTCTTCAGCCAACGTCAGCCACCTCATGGGGGTAAGCTAAGGTCTGATTTGTCCTTGGTGGAAATCAAGGGCTGCTTCTGATACCCTCCTCCGCCAACACACACAGCCCACTTCAGCTGCTGACCCTCCCCCAAATGATCAGACACCCAAGGGATGCAGGAAAACTTCCTGAGGCCAAGGGGCACAGTCTCTCCTTGGCTCTCTTTCCAGCCCGTCATCTTCCTTGTTGAAGTGGCACGGGCAGCCCCTGAAAAGGGTGGTCTTCCAGCTCTCCTTAGACGCCAAGCCGCACCAGGCTTCCGAAGTCCCTCTGGGACAACCAGGACCCCACTAAGCCCGGGGGAGGGGCAGGGGGGGCCCCTGGAGAATCTCAGAGGGAAATGACACCTCCCTCCCAAAAAGCTTCCTGCCCCAGGGGCCTGCAGCGAGTGCCATTCTCACTCCCACCCTTATGGATGCACGCTGAGTCCCAATCCCAAACCAGCTAGACCCTCCCAACTGCGCAGACACTTCGGGCTCAGCACGTCTTCCCCACCCCCTCGCTTAAACAATGGAAAAGAGAAACCCAAAAAGGAGAGAGTTGTGATAAAAATACAGGCTTTAAGTAGGACAGGCTGGAATTGGAACCCAAGATCCTGCATTTGCTGGCTGGGGAACCTCGGCTGGTGGCTTTATGTCTCTGTACTCAGGTTACCTCATCTGTAAAGTGGGCATAACAGTGTTTATCAGTTGTATGGAGGAGTTAAATGACCCAGCACTGCAACACTAACTCACGGCACCTGGGTTACAGTAAATGCTTAATAAATAACAGCTACCATTACCTTTGTTGTGGAGGAGCCTGCCTACAAGTCACATGGGGGAGAAGCAAAGCAAGAGGGCAAGCAGCCCAACACCCTTGCTTTGAAGGTTCCATGAGGACAGTACCTGTGTCAGTTATGGTGATGACCATCCTATGGAGCACCTTGACTTGTGCTCAGTAATTATTTTTTGAATTAATGAATGAATAAAAGCCACACCCTCTTCCCTAAGCCACAGCTTTGAGTTCCTGCCTGACCCACAAACTGATTTAGCCCAAATCCATTGCCCTTCTCGCCTTCCTCCACCCAACCTTCCAGCTCCACCACTCCTGGCCCCCCAGACCCTTCAACTGGCACTTGGCTGGACAGACCCCTAGTGGGGCAGTGGGGTTGAGGGCAGGGCAAGGAGCAAGGAAAGTGGCTGGGGGTCCAGGGGACCCCCACTGGTGTCCCTCCTGGGGGCAGCTGAGGGGAGGGAGGCTCCCAGCCCAGTGTCCTTAATAGGCTTTGGTCTCCATGGGAACCCAGGGGCAGGGGGGCTCCGGCAGGGGGAGGGGAGGCGGCCGAGGCCTGCTGACCAGTGGGAGCCGCCAAGTTCGGCGGCCGCTAAGCCTGAGTGGCAGCCATGGCGGCTGACCATTGTTCCCCCCTCGGCGGCGGCCCCTCGATCCGGGCGGGGGGCCCCCCGCCGCGGGGCCCTTGGCATTCCCGGCTGTCCCCCTCGCTCCCTGGCAGCCTATTCTCCGGCTCCCCCTGGCCTCCCCGGGCCGGTTTCACATGCCAACGCCGATTTAGGCCCGAACAAAAGACGCGGCCGCTGACGGCTTCTCCTGGGGCCCGGTTGCCATGGCAACGCCGGCCCCGGGGGCAGGCGGCCTCCAATCACAGCTGCTGGATCAGATTAGTGCGAGCTCTAATGCTCGGCGCTCAGACACAAAGACACCCCGCCGGAGCCGAGCGGGCCTGCTGCTTCCCAGGAGCGCCCTTCCCTCTGGGGCCCAGGCCGCCGACCTGCCCTCAGTCCTGTACCCCGGTCCCCACGGAGGCGCCCGAGCCTGGGCCTCTGGCCCCCACGCCGGCAGCATCCGCCGACCAGGAGACCTCCCACCCTCTCCCCTTCTCCCCTGGAGACAGCGCCCTGGAAACCCACCCCGTCGCTAGCTCACATCCCATTCCCAAGGCGCGGTTCTCCTCTGCCCTTTGCCTAAGAGGCAGCGGAAGAATGCCTTGATGGCAAGGCAGAGTCACAGCCTGTAGCCCGTCTCACGTAAGAGAAGACCAGGGACCCTGGCACTAAGCACAGCAGCCCTACTTCACCCCTAGACTTAAAACTTGGCCCCCTCTTTGCCATATCCCCATGGGACTTTGGTGTTCACATTTACTCACCTTTCTGGGGACACCCTATTGTCTGATGATGCCACATCTCCTTCGTAAACTAATGGATCCAGAAATTTAAGCTCAATGCACCTCAGAGCTGAGAGCCAATCTGCTGGGCCTGATTGGAAATTTAGGGTGCTCTCCTCAGTCTCCCTCCAAATAGCTAGGGGATCAGCACCTCCCCCAGCTCCCACCTGTGCGAGCAGGGTGCTGAGTGCAATTGGGAGTCATATTTATTGCCTCCTTATCATCCTCACCAGGAAGGAGTGGGGGAAGGTGCAACCGCCCATGGCCTGGACAGGTGCAAACTTCCAGGAGGCCCAGGGGTGACTGGATTGAACTGGCTCGGGGAGAGCAGCCTCCCGAGGGAGAATGAAGATAAGCAGGAGAAAAACACAGGGGAAGGACAGCCACAGAGACCGCTACTATGTGGCTTCTCTCCCTGGGGATGCATCCAGAGGCTGAGGCCCACAGATAGGACAGAAGCCTGAACCGCAGGCTGGCCTGGGCTCACCCACAAAAAGGACCCGGCCCCATTTTCACTTTTTGCAGGGACTGCAATGACCTGGCCGGACTCTGCTTGATACTGACCAATCCTACGGGGCTTCCACAACAGCCCCCGAAAGCACCCCCAGCAGGCACCCCCCCCAGTTTTGACCCACCTTCCCAAACTGCTCAAAATATTGCTTCACATCTTCCACCGTGGTGTTCACTGATAGCCCCCCCACAAAGATCTTCTTCGTTCGAGTCACCATCTGTTAGGGGGAGGGAATGAGAAAGTGGGCATCTGAGTCCCGTGGCCTACTGCCACCAGCAGGGGCCCGAGCCCTCCTGCCAGGGCGCCAGCTGACAAGCTCTCTGTGGCCCTAGCGACTCGGAAGCCCCCCCCCCGAGCTCCCCCCTGGACCCCCGCCTCTAGGCCTGTCACGGGCAGCTGTGCACCCCACGCCCTGGCTGACTCGAGTGTGCCTCCCTCCCTCCTGCCTCCATGTCTGGGGTCTGGGTAGGGGAAAATGCCTTCCGTTAAGGACCAAGGGAACGGGTTAGTGACCTAGACCCACAGCGTAACTCAGAGACCCCCGCCAGCACCCCTGGGAGAGACTAAGGCCCATCACAGGGTTCCCCTGAACTCAACGCCGACATTTTCCTCATCAACCTCCTCCCAACCCAACCTCCGGCAGCCCTGTGGCCCCAGCCCTGTTTTAGGAAGAACACATGGTCCTAATTACCCCAGGAGCGCATGGCTAATCCACGGCAATTCCCAGCCCCATCCTAACACTAAAGCACCTTCTGTCACCAAACTGCTTAATGGAATTAACCCAATTCCGACCATGTGCTCCCTGGTGCGGCTTCCTTCGAATACCTGCTCCATAATTGCTTTCAGGCCCTCTGCTGGACCCTTCCAGAGATGTCCCCTTCCTGTCTCCTAAAACCTGTCCCTCTCCCTTCGCCGTGACAGGAGTGGGGCAGCATGGTGGAAACCACTGGCTCAAAACCTTAAAGCGTCCCGGCTCCTACCAACCCTCTTGCTAAGGGGGAAACTGAGATCTCCTGGAGAGGAACCCCATCCTAGGACACAAGTTAAGTCAGCGACTCAGGGGTCCTTGGCTCCCTGTACTGAAATCAGCCTTCCTTCCTGTCCCCTACATTTAACCATTTAAAAATTAAGATCTGGCTAGTTGCCTTGGGGCCTGGAATAAAATCTTGGGCCCCTACCCTGCACCAAAAGTTTTGAATGCTATATAGCTCATCCTCTCAGAATTCTGTTTTCCATCCACGGAGAACAACTCGTCACAGCTCTAAGGAAGGAGAGCGTGGGGAGGACAGCCACTCCCCCAAGGTGAAAGACAACTGGTAACTAGCTTCATGGTCCCTTCCTCCTCTGCAAGCTGAACACACCGAACCCCAGAGATAGAAAGGTGACTGGGGGGGGTGGCAGTCAGAGATAGCTCCCTGGCCTGACTCTAGCTCAGCCTCAGGGGGTGTCTGTCCTGGGTTTGACCTCCCCAGGGGCATTGGGTTTAGAGGCTGTGATCTATGAGGTCAGAATTCGACTCAGGGTCCACAGTGTACTGGCTTCAAATACAGGACAATGAATCCCCTGAGGGGTCCCTCCTTCTCCCAACACATGCAGCCCCCTTCCAGTCCACCCCAGAGCACAGATGCAAAGATGCAGGATGTCTTCAATCCACAGAGCAAGCACATTAAGAATCCTCCCATCTCCCATCCCAGTCTATTCCCAAAACACTCCAAACGAAGCTTCCAGAAGCATCTCCCATAGAAGGGAACACGGGGAAAATCACTGCCCAAAGTAACACAGCTCCTCCCAGACATAAATAGACATACCTACCTTGGGCTGTGCTCGCCGAGGAAAGGCCACCTTGGGATCAATCTGAAAGAGAAGGGAGAGGCAAAGGAGCTTGGTTATCACAGTTCAGATGGGTGACCATGCAGGCTTCAGCCCTGCAGACTTCTCTCATCCCAGGACACAGAGGTGACACAGACGGGACAGAAATCACCACAGCCTCTGGCTGAAGAGTGTAGTCGTCAAGCATCTAGGCCCCAGTGCCAGGCTCCTGGGTTCAAATCCCACTTACACGGTTTCCCAGCTGCGAGACCTTGGGCAAGTTACTTAACCTCTCTGAGCCTCAGGGCCAAGCTCACCTGCAAAACGGACAAATAGTAACACCCACCTCAAAGGGGTCGTCTGCAGACTACTTGAGATCATGCTTACAAAGCACTTGGCAAGGTGGCTAGCTCACAGCAGGAACCCCAACAAAGTAAGCAAAGCCTCATTTCTTCAAGCACCAGGTATTCTAGGGCCTTCCTCACCTAACCCACTTCACACAGATGATACCTGTCTAGGCGAGCTACGCAATCCAGACTTTGGAAGCCTCGTGGATGGAAATACTCTGTGCTTCAAGATAAGAGTTCATAAATCACCAGGAATGGACCCAGTTCTGTTTCCCCGATACTACTGACATCTAACAGCCTTCTTCGAGGCTGGAAGCAAACAGCTCCCTGAGAATGCAGCTAGGCTTGGGGTGAATCAGAGCGCGGGCTTTGGTGATGTGCAAGGGCATGGGACTTGGGCTCAGTCAGAAACTTCGGGCCCCTGGCCAAGCCTGTGATCTTGGTAACTTGCCCACCCCTCTGAGCCTCAGTTCCCTCATCTGCAAAGTGGGAATAGTCACAGCCACTTTTCCCAGGGGCAGCCATAGGGAATCGAATCAGATAACACAGGTGAAAGCGGCCCTTTGTGAACTGCCCTCCATTGCGCAAACAAAGGTGCTATTACCAGCAGGCCACCTTTGCCCTTGGCTGTGAACAACCAAAGGAGAAAAGCAAGATGCACCTGGGTGCTCCTGGGTATACACTCATACTGATAAACAGCAGAAGCCAGAGCACAAGACATGGTGATCAAGGCAGGCCCTACAGGGTCTGGTCATTCCAGAGCTTCGTGCCACCCACATGGGTGGATACCACTCAGAAGTTCACCAGCCAATCACAGGGAAGATCTGACTTTCCCCAAAGTTCCTTCCGTTCGAAACTCAGCCTTAGTCTAGGCAGCCGGCTCTGGCTCCTCTCTGCCTGAATGGCACGAACTGGGGACCAGCCTCCTCTGGGCTCCCCCACGGGAGAAGGAACCGCTAACATCCATGCTGGGGCAATGCCTCCTCTCTCCCAAAGTCCCACTGGGCTCCAGGGAAAATCACAACTGCCCATTTCCCCTGTCTGAAGGTGTGATTTCATACCTCTACGGACATTTTCATCCTTCTCTTTCTCCTGGAAGCAGCCTCCCCAGCCACCAGAGCACCTCAGACAGTCCCCCTGCGTAGACCCTAATGGGGAGATGGTACCCAAGCCACGTCCCACAGACCTACGCACACCCGATCCCTGACACACCCCACCTCCACTCTGACTCACAGCTGGTAACATAAATAAAACCCCACAAGTAAATAAAAGGTGAAAGTCAGAACCCAAAATAGACTCCCCACAATAAACCTCCCTCCCACCCCTCTCTCCCAGGCCAGAGAATGCCAAACACAAAGCCCTTGCCTTTTTGAGTCCCAAACCACAGAAGGATGCCCATCGCACCCTCCTTGCCCCCTTCTCTCTTCGTATCAATCTTCCATGACCCCGCCCTGCCCCCAGCCCCAGTCCCTAAATCTCGGCTTCCTGAGCGCTGCAGAAGCCATCAGTGCATTCTGAGGACAGGGGATGGTAGCAGAACTGGCAGCTTGATGGCAGATAATCACCAAAAACAATAGGCCACTGTCTCTCCATTCCCAGCTTGGGTCACTTGGTCTGAGCCAAGAAGATCCTTTCAGAGCCGGCAAAGTTGAGGCCTGGCCTCATTTGCTCATTACTGTCTGAAGCAGGAGTGGGAGCCACTGGGCAGAGATAACAGGAGCTGGGGACAGGCGGTAATTTAGCAAATTCTTGGGCACAACCAGCTATTGTTGCAGGTAAACAGGAGCCAGTGACTGACCCAAGCAGGGAGGCCCAGGGCCGGAGGAGAGTGGGGGAGTGTGGAGAGAGATCACTCTGTCCCGGCCCCCTGGCCTCGGGTCACCCCAGGCAGAGTAACCCCTCCTCTGACTTCCTCCTTTTCCCTCTCCCCCAGAGCAGGGGCCTGGGCCAGCGCCCCCTGGAGGGCCCGAAACACCGGGGAGCCGTGGGACAGCAGTAAAATGTTTCAGGAGTTTGAATGCCAGAAAAGCAGCCTCTCCTCAGATCCAGCCCTCAGAAGGGTTGTTTCCAGGCAAGCCAGCTCTCTTCTCATAAATCCCTTCCTGGGCAAAGCAGGTTCATGTCTTCCACACAAAGGGGGGAGCTCGTAGACCAAAGGGGTAGGGGAGAGGGAGGGGAGATGCTACGATGCTTTGCCATTGGTTCCGATTGGTGGTGGTGGGGAGCCAAATACTAGTTAAGAGTCCAGAGAAGCCACGGGGTGGGTCACTGCAACCCTGACTCACCCAGCTTGGGCTAGGGGAGGGACCAAGCCCCACCCCAAGCTGCTCTGTGAGGCTTCAAGATTAGTAGGTACAGGGAGGGGCTGGGGGACGTAGCATCTCACCGCAGGCCTGGGGTTTTTCTCCTCCCTCTCCCCCCTACTCTAGTGACAAAGTTTCAGGGCTTGGCAGCCCTTCTACTCAGAAAACTCCCTCCTTCCTCAAGGACCCCGTCCAACTGTCCCCTGGGGAGAGACCTGACCCTCTCCTCCGGCGGCCGCCCTCTCCCAAAGGACCCCCGATGCCCTGAGGGCCACTCACTGTTTTGGAGTCGAGCTCGTGCCGCGATTGCGCCAGCACTTTATCCACCCCCGCCTGGTCCATGAAAGTGACGAAGCCGAAACCCCTGCGCGCCGTAGTGAGGGAGAGGCAGATGGTTACAAGGCAGTGAGTGGCGGTGGAGGGGGCGAGCCGGGAGCAGGAGGAGGGGTGAGGGCTCACCTGGATCTCTTGGTCAGGGGGTCCCGCATCACCAGACACTCCTTCACCTCCCCGAACTGGCCGAAGTACTCGCGCAGCCCTTCTGTAACCACACACTCGCCTTCGGACCAGCTCGGGCCCCGCGCCCTTCCCCCCTCCCGCGTCCTTTGCCCCCGGTGACCCCGCCACTGCCCGGCCGCCCCCGCGCGGAGCAGCCTGCGAGCTCTCCACTGCCCGCCCCCCCCCCAAGCCCTCACCCGGCTCCCGTGGAGCCTCCTGGCGCCCACGGGGGCTCCAGGAAGCCGAGGGCCGAGCTGGGCTGGAGGGGGGACGGCTCCGGCCGGGTTCCCGCCGCTCCGGGAGCCGCCTCACAAAAGTTTGAGCCGCAGGTGCGAGCGGAGTTGGCGCTGCCGCCGGCGGGTCCTGGGGGCCCAGCCCAACCCCCGATGCCCCCTGAACCCCTCATCTCCTCCCCTCCACCCGCTGGGCCGTGCGCGCACGCCGATCGCCCTGCGCTCTCGGGGTCCCCGGGCGGGGCGCGAAAGAGGGCGCGGGGGCGCCCGGGGTCAGCAGGGCGCAGGGCCGGGCTGGGGTGTCCGGTTCCGGGGCGCCGGGGGGTCCAGGGTGCCCTGCCTGGCCGGCTGGCGCTCCCGGGCTCGCTCACCCTGCGTAGTCTGCCAACTGAGTCCCCCGATGAACATCTTGCTGCGGGAGGAGGAGAGACACAAAGGGCCCGCGTGAGCGCCGGGCGCCAGGGCGCAGGGGGTGCGGGCCCGGGCCCCGGGGAGGCCCGGCCCGACCCGGATCGGCCATGTTGGCGGGGCCGGGGCGGGCGCGGGCCGGGCAGGCCGGGCCGGGCCGGGCCGGGCCGTACCAGGGGTCGTGCGGCGAGTCCGGGGAGGCGAGGCCGGGCTGGGGCGCGTCAGTCTCCATCGGGAGCCGCGGGCGGCGCGGGCAGCGGAGCGGCGGCGGCGGCGGCGGCGGCAGCGATCGGCGCGGGGCAGATGAGGAGCGCGGCGAAGGGGGCCGGACGGACAGGCCATGCTGCCCCCTCCCCCGACCCCGCTCGGGCGGGCGGGCGGGGACGGCCGAGGGGAGGGCCCGCCGGGGGCCGACCTGCCGGCTCCTCCCCCCGCCGCCCTGCGCGCATAAAGCCCCGCGCTCGCCCGCGCGCCCGCGGAGGCGGCGGCGTCCGGACCCCGCTCCCGCCGGGCTCCTGGGTCCCCGAGGGCGAGAGAGACCCCGAATCCCGAGGCGGGCCGGGACCAGGGCGCGGCCGCACCCCCCACCCACCCCAGCGCGGGGCCGGGCGGTGGGAACGCCCTCCCGGAATGAAGCGCTTCCCGGTGCCTTCAAGGTAGCTCGGTTCCGGATCGGGGACCCTCTAGTCCTCCCTCTCAGGTCCCCGCTATCCAGAATTTAAGAGCTCCTCGATCTCCCTGGGTCGGGAGGGAGATCGCCCCAGTGCCCCCCACCCTCAGCGTTCCAGCTAGTGAGTAGCCCTCCATTCCCCCAATGGGAAAGAGAAGCTGCCCCCCAAGGCCCCCAATTTCCTCGGAGCCTGATTCAGGGCACCCCCTCAGCGGCCCTCAGTCCACTCCCAGGGTCCCATACCCTCTATATCCAAATTGGGGAACCTTTCGATGCCTCGCGTCCTGAGTGGGGATCCTCCATCAGCACCCCAGTAGAAACCGTATCAGTTCCCCGAATCCCTTCTCAGCCCTTTCTATTCCCTTCAGCTCCCTCAGATCCTTTCTGTATGGTCTATTGAGAACCCCCCCCCCTCGACCCAAGCCCGGGTTCTCTGTTTGCTGCCACCCGCACCCCCAGTGTGAGGAGTCTTCACTGTTTCTCGTACTCCTGGTTCACGTGTCAGCCCTGCTCAGACTCCTGTCTGGACTCGGGACAGCCGGGTTAGGTCCGGACGCTCACCGGCCCTCCCCACCGAGGCGAGGGGAGAGGGTCAGTGCCGCTGAGAACCTCCCGTTTCCACTTTAGGAGGCCGCCGGCGCAGCTCTGCACCTTCGCCTCCCAATGACCCCCTTCTTTTGCAGAGTTCTAAGCCCAACCCCATCGGATTGGAAGAACCTAAGCCGCCTACCCACTGCGTTTGGAGTTACTTCTCTCAGTCCGCCTCAGTTTGAGACTTACTCCCCATGAAGGCAAACGCCTTCACTTCCTCCTCCCTACGCCTCCATCTCCTGCTACTCTGAGACCCCCCTCCCGTACTTTCCCCAGCGCTCCTCACCCTCCCCGAAAACTTCCTCCCTCCAGCCTGGGAACTCTAACATCCATTCCAGATCACCTGCGGAGCCAGGGGCCCTCCTCCCTAACCCCACCTCACCAGATCCATCTCCTTTCCTCAGTTCCCCGGCTGAGACCAGCCAAAAAAGGGTCAAAGCTGGAGGCTAAGGCAGCCACTCCCCCCACATCCCCATCCCTGCTGGGGATCTCAGGGTCACACAAGCCCCTCCCTCCCAACTCACCTCCCTGTCCTGCCCCCTTCCCTACCTTAAATCCACCTGGTATTAACCCAGTGACAACCCTCGATGGCATGCCCCTTGCTGCTCACCTTGACATCCATCCTTCAGTCAGTCACATTTTATTAATGTGTGCAGCAGCTCTGGGCGGCATAACCCCGACCTCTGAAAAGGTGCCCATCCCCCTCCTCTCAGTACACCTTCCCTCCCCCCACCCCACCACCATGCGTATAAGAACGTGAGAGACTCAAGTTAATGGTTTCCTTGGGGACCTTCTGGGAACACTCAGCAGGTATATCCTGCCACCCTGGGCTCATAACACTAGAAACAAACTTGCTTTTTCCTGTGTTTATTGTCCTCACCCCACAGTTTCTCAGCATCCCCTGGACTCCGGGGTAGGAAGCTGTTCACACAGGTTATTTCTCACCATCTCAATACAAATTGGACTATCTGGTGTGTTCTGAGAGTGACACAGATGAAGGTCAGCAGGTAGCAAATCCGGTGTCAGAGAACTGGCTATTCCTAGCTCTAAACTTCGGGTTCCCTGTGTGTAAAATGGGGTCAATGGGGAGGTGCAGGGTGAGGGAAGGAGCCCAAGTGAGAACTGATTTGTGTGCTGATGCTGTTGGACAGGTAGCTTGGGGATAGGGGTAGGAATAGGTAAGGGTCAGTTATTTAGAGCCAGCCAAGCCTCCGTGAGTAGTACATTGAGATAGGATCCATTTATTAGCGCCCTCATTCAGGTCCTCAGAGGAGGCAGTATCTACTTGTCACTGCCTGGCTTGAGCCACAGGAACGTGCGGGGTGGACCTCTGGAAGTCTCCTTCTACCATAGGTTCATCTCAGGCTCGCCGCTTCCGTCCACTTTGTTCACAGTCGGGGTAGCCCTCACAGGACAATGCAGCTGTAAATGCAGGATCCTTGTAGTAAATTGAGGATCTCAGTGGTATTAAGGAAAAAATGATTTTTAGAGCAACTGGCCCAGACTCCAGAATTAGGAGATTAGAGGATGCTGTTCCAGCTCTCTTTCTCCACTACTACACATCACTCAAAGAATGGAAGAATAATTTGCTTTCTAGTTAAAAAAAAAAAATCCTTTCCAGAAAGCCAAGGGACACACAACATTATGCCCAAGCGCTAAGATGCAACTTGGCAGGTTCATTTATTCTACAAATATTTATTGAGCACCTGCTACCTGCCAACCATTGTCTTGAGTGCTATATTCCTACCACTACCTTTGTAAAATATTCTTTCTAGAGACAGGAGTCAGATGATAGATAGATAGATAGATAGATAGATAGATAGATAGACAGATAATATGTCAGATGTTGCTAAGTGCAGTGGAGAAGGAAGGGGGAGAAGGGGGGGCAGGAGGAATGAAGAAGAGGATGATAAACAATTTTCAATCAGTACATTTATAGACAGAGGTGTGACGTTTTAGCAAAGACTTGAAGGAAATAAGGTACATTAATCTCCTATATGATCCAGAACTCTCCTTTAAGCAAAATGTCTGCATCTCGAGTGCAATAATAATTGATATTCATAATTTGACTTTCATTGCTTTAAAACAGCGGGTCCCAAACCCTAATGTGCATGAAAGATCACCCAGTGATTTTCAGTAGATATATAGGATAGAGGGGAGTTCTGAAAAATGCATTTTTAAATGCATCTGATAGAAATCAGATGATGCTGATCGCTGAGGTTTTCTTCAGACCGCTCTTGAAGAAACATTGCTCTAAGATATATTGAAGAGTCTCTTAGAATAACAACAAAATAAAAAATCAAATTATAGTCCCTGTGGTTTTAATGTTGAGAGTATTTTACTGTGTTTTCATTCTTTGAAAAAGCGAAGACCGCAGCAAAACCCTGGGTTACCCAGAACATTCCATTTCTTGTCCATACAGGAGAAGGGAAATTTTATCATAGGCTGATCAGGACCCAGAGATTTATCATCAGTTTGTTTTGCACCCTTCCTATCCTTTTTGCCCTAATTTTTCTCTATGAGTTTTTCCTTCTCCCAAATTTCTGGACTCAACCAGGAGGTGATGGGCCAGGGAACACTTGGCCACTTGGTCCTGAAACTGCCATAGTTTCTCGTTGAGTAAGTCTAGGGATATGCCACTCAGCCTTCTGAGGTTCCATGTATTCTCTGAGTTGCTGCAAGTTGAGTGAGATCATGCGGATGAAAGCACCTTAAAAATTCTGTAGCACTAGGGAAAGATAAGGAAGCTCTGTGACTGTGCATTCCAGATCCAGTTAATCGGCCCAGTTCAAATTCAGTTACTTTCAAGGCAGTGTGGTACTAGCATCATGATACACATATAGATCAATAGAATAGAACTGAAAGTCCAGAAATAAACCCTCACATTTACAATCAATGGATTCCATCAGGATACCAATACAATTCAATAGAAAAAAACAGCCACTTTAAGAAATGATGCCGGACAGCCTGATGTCCACATGCAAAAGAATTAAACTTACCTCTACCTCACACCATATACAAGAATCAACTCAAAATTAATCAAAGACCTAAATGTAAGATCTAAAATTATATTTTAAAAAATCAATCAGACATCATTAGGTTTAAAAACATTTGTGCTTCAAGGGTGCTGGGTGGCTCAGTAGGTTGAGTGCCTGACTTCAGGTCAGGTCATGATCTCGGGGTTCGTGAGTTCAAGCCCCACATTGAGGCTCACTGCTGTCAGTGGAGATCTCACTTCGGATCCTCTGTCCCCCTCTCTCTGCCTCTCCCTCACTTGTTCTCTCTCTCTCTCTCAAAAATATATAAACACTAAATACAAAAATTAAAACAAAAACCATTTGTGCTTCAAAGAACATTACCAAAAAAGTGGAAAAACAGGGGCTCCTGGGTGGCTCAGTCAGTTAAGCATCTGACTTTTGGTTTTGGCTCATGTCACGATCTCATGGGTTTATGAGTTCAAGCCCTGCATCGGGCTCCAGATCTGTGCTGACAGTAGGGAGACTGCTTGGAACTCTCTCTTTCCCCCGAGTCTCTCAGCCCCTCCCATGTGCTCTCTAAATAAATAAATAAACTTAAAAAAATAAATTTTAAAAGTGGAAAAACAATACACAGAATATAAATTTTTTGTAAATCAGATATTTGATAAGGGACTTATATCTAGAATGTACAAAGAAGCCATACAACTCAAAAAATGAAAAAAATAAGTCCACTGAAAATGGGCAAAGGATCTGAATGGGCGCTGCTCCAAAGCAGATATATAAATTGCTGATAAGCACTTGAAAAGATGCTCAACATCATTAGGCAGCAGGGAAGTGCACATCAAAGCTACAATGAGATACTACCATGCAACCACTGGGAATGGCTATAATCAAAATGATAGATAATAACAAGTGTTGGCAAGGATGTGGAGAAATTGGAACCCTTGTAAATTGCTGGTGGGAATGTAAAATGGTACAGGACTATGAAAGCAGTCTGGAAAAGCAGATCCTCAAACAGTTAAATATAGACTTACCATATCATCCAGCAATTCCCCTCTTAGATATATATCCCCAAA